TAGTATAGGAAATGGTTTCGCATCAAAGGTCTAAATTCAGTTTTCAAATTGAAAGCAGTGGTTCAAAATAAACTTTATAGATGAAGAGAGAAAAAATGCAGCAATTGGTCTTCTTCCATGCGTGTTCCCAACTGGAAGAAAGAATAGAAAACGATGTACAATTGATGAAGCTTTGAGTGCTTTTATCGATTGCCAACCGGTATGCATTATCATATGTCATTTAAAGTATGATAACTCGGAACATTGCGTATAAAGGTCTAAAATATTTCTCATATTTAGGTTGGTACAAACATGCCAAAATATTTAGAAGAAGCTCCAAGATGCCCGTTTGTTTTGGCAATCGGTAATCGCTACAACCCAACACAAGTTTTTGTTATCATCGAAGGCCAGGGCTTGGAGCAGCCTAATCTTACGAAGGCAATTGATGTTTGTTTTAAAGTATTTTACATCCTGGATATTAATTATCCTTGGCAATGCTCTTCGTCGTGGGAATTCATACAAAAAGTTCTCTATGGCATCGAAGATAAGGTGAAAGGAAAGACAACCCCAGCTGTTGTTGCAATGAGAGCAGCTTTAAAGTAAATGGCTTTGTTGGCGATCATGCAGTGTTAAAACTACAAAAACCTTCCAATAGTTAAATTAGTTAATTTAATTGTTTTTCTGAAACTTTCACCTCTGTTCATATTAAATAATTGTTTTGTTTTTAATTTAAATCAAGGATCATATAAGAGGGTTTTGAAAATATTTTTATATTAGCTACAATAACCTCTTGCGTGATCCTTGATTTAAATTAAAAACAAGACAATTATTTAGTTAATTTAGTACTTAACAATATTATGTGAATTTTTCTAAAAATAAACCCTGTTCAGTACGAATTTTGTGTTGAAAAACATGTCAAAGAAGCAAGGAACATCAGATTATAAATTTGATCCGTTAACAAGTTAAATTTAACTGGGATACAAGTCAAAATTTTAGCAGTAATTCCTGGTTAAATTAACCAGGAATAACTGGTTAATCAATGGAACCAGGATTTCCTGGTTAATATAACCAGGACTGCGTCGGTCCCATATGGAATACTTTCCTGGTTAAAATTTAACCCCATATTGGTTAAATTTAACTAGGATGTTTCCTGGTTAAATTAACCAGGAATAACTGGTTAATCAATGGAACCAGGATTTCCTGGTTAATATAACCAGGACTGCGTCGGTCCCATATGGAATACTTTCCTGGTTAAAATTTAACCCCATATTGGTTAAATTTAACCAGGATGTTTTTAGAGTGTATATATATATATATATATATATATATATATATATATATATATATATATATATATATATATATATATATATATATATATATATATAAATATAATATATATATATATATATATATATAAATATATATATAAAGAACTGTGCCCACTGTCTAATAAATGTATCACCGAATCGGTTGTATATCAAGCCACAGTCACTACTAAGGACAAAACTACCAATAGACCTCCCCAAACATATGTCGGCCTTACTGAAAACTCGTTCAAAACAAGACTTGCGAACCATAAAGCATCATTTAGCTATTTTGACAAACGGAACGCTACTGAACTTAGCAAATATGTGTGGGAATTGAAAAATCGAAACATCCATTATACAATCAAATGGAAACTATTAAAACGAGCTAAGCCTTATAACTGTGCTTCAAATAGATGTAATTTGTGTTTATGGGAGAAATACTTTATTATTTGTCAGCCTAAAATGGCCACTTTAAACAAACGTAACGAGTTAGTATCAGCATGTAGGCATAATAAAAAATTCCTTTTAAGTAACATTTAAAAGCTAGACATTTAAATATACCGCGGTGTGTTAATCTTTCCGCGTCCTGTCAGCTTATCATATAACATGTTTATTAAATCGCGTGCTTTGTAAATAGGATTAAGTTTCATGTCTCATCCACTTGTACATATAACCTTGTAAGTTTTAGTCTATAGTCATTAGGTCAATTTATCTGAAGAGTGCCACATACTGTGGTACGAAACTATTTAGTAATAAAGATGCCTAGTGGATTTTGTTGATTTGTTGTACCTTAATTTAATTTATATATATATATATATATATATATATATATATATATATATATATATATATATATATATATATATATATATATATATAATTTCATCAAGTAATTTCCCGTTTTTAAGAATAAAGAGTGCTCAATACAAGACAATTGTAGAGCATTTAATAATTTAATATTTTAATACAATTTTTCAATTGAATAAGTTGCTACTTTAAGTTTCATGCAACAAGCAATCATCAGGCAACGTATGAATATGTTGCCTGATGATTGCTTGTTGCATGAAACTTAAAGTAGCAACTTATTCAATTGAAAAATTGTATTAAAATATTAAATTATATATATATATATATATATATATATATATATATATATATATATATATATATATATATATATATATATATATATATATATATATATATATAAAATTTGTTATCTTAAAATGTTTCAATTTCTCGCTACTTTAAGTTTCATGCCACTATTTGTGGCAATCTTCAGGCGATCGCCTGAAGATTGCCACAAATAGTGGCATGAAACTTAAAGTAGCGAGAAATTGAAACATTTTAAGATAACAAATTAATTCGCTCTGCTAAATAATTTGTAGTATTGAGCACTCTTTTATCTATAACGAAAAACAAAACTGTTTATATATATATATATATATATATATATATATATATATATATATATATATATATATATATATATATATATATACATAATTATATAAGTATAAGAATAATAATGCTATTCAAAAATGTGAGTATTCAAGACAAGACAATTTATTGCTCCGTAATAATCACACAATTACATTTTTTGTTTTACATTATTCCTTTTTTACTATTAATGTTACTTATTTATTTAATTAAAATAAAGGAGCTGACACCCCAAAATAACCATAAGGCTAAAAGACTGGGGGCCAAGTAGTTAATTAATCAATTAATCAATAATTGTAAGATTGATCTTACAATAATTACGATTTTTTAAAGCATAAAGAAAAATGAGAAATGTAAAGAAAAGACAATCATTTTTAGGAATAAAGAAAAAATTAATACTGATTAATAAAAGCAGCTTTAATTTTTCTCTTAAGTTGTAAAAATGTCATTTGTTTATCAGCTTCACTCAGCACATTCCATGCTTTCACTCTCTGATATCTAATATTAAATAATCCAAAATTTGTTCTTATTTTCGGCAAAGAAAAACAAAGATTTGATGAAAGTCTAGTATTACATGAATGTATTTGATAGACAGGAGTAAAGAGATCATTTAAACTCGAGGGCAAAAGTTGTCGATAATATTTGTACATAAACATGGTCATACGTAATGTAATGAGATGGGTGAACTTTAAGATTTGGAGGCGCTTAAAAAGAGGACTTGAGTGTTCATCAAAGTGAGAAAAGGTGATAACACGCATGGCTTTCTTTTGAAGTATAATAAGTGGTTTAAGTGTGGTTGAATATGTGTTACCCCAAATTATCAATGCATAGATAAAAAATGGGTATATTATTGCATAATACAGATTAACTAAAATCTTAATATTTAGAAAATGTCTAAGTTTAGAAAGAATGCCAATTCCTCTTTTGATCTTTTTTGCAATATGATCCACCTGATATTTCCAGGATAGGTGGGAATCAATAAAAACTCCTAGATATTTTATATAATCAACTTTTTTGAGATATCTGCCATTAATACTAAGACTTACATCTATTTCAATTTTCTTTTGATGAGGATGAAAAATAACAAAATTTGATTTTTCGATGTTAAGGGACAACTTGTTAGCACACAGCCAGACATTGATATTGACCAACTCTTGATTAATATTCGATTCCAGATCTAATAGATCTTCGTTTTCATAGAATAAATTGGAATCATCAGCAAAGTGATGAAAATCAAATAATTCTGAGCATTTATAAAAATCATTAATATATAATAAAAATAAAAGAGGCCCCAAAAATAAAAGAGGCAATTTTTGCTACAGCAAGTTTGCCAAGGAATTTTTTGACATAGAGCTATAGTATATATATATATTATTATTAAAGCTTTTATTTGCATGACCTAGTTACAGGTATTGCTAAGCGTATACATATATAAAAAAGTTATAGTAAATAACAACTAATTTTACTGTAGTTACAACATTAAGTGGATAAAGAAATATATACAATAGATAATATATAATAGAAATATAGGAAAATTTAGTAATTTAGTTAGTATCTCTTGTTTGAAGGCTTTTGTCTCTAATGTTAAAACATTTTGCAATGAATTTTGAAAATAGATCGATTAAAACTGAATCAGTGCTTGAAATAACATGACTCAATAAGTTTTGCTTTGACTCTGTTACAAGAGTCATTTGAAAAATGTTTTTCAGTATATTGCTGGAATCATTCCTAATGTTTTCATAATTTTGACATTCGAAGGCAAAGTGAAATTCGTCTTCGACTTTCTGAGTGCCGCATAATTTACAATATCTTTCTTCACGGGGTATATTTTGATAGCGGCCGTACTCTATAAGTAGTTTGTGATTACTTATTCGGAATTTTGCAAACATTCTTCTTTGGGATGGGTCTTTTATTGTGTTAAGATATTCTTCCATTTTATATTTCTTTTTAAATGTATAGTAAAATGATAGTTTTCTGGAATTTCTTACTTGATCATTCCAGAATGAAACATAGTTGTCTTTGACGCTTTTTTTGATGAAAGAGTCTATAATCGTGTCTTTAGTAAATGTTTCTAGATCCATTGTATCGTCTAGTTCAGGAAGATATCTTTTCAAAACTTTTCTAACATTGGAGTAAAAAGATTCATTATTGTTCATGTATAGCTCTTTCGAATAATGGAAAACTTGTTTCGCGATACATGAATCTGGGAGTTGGCATATGTTTTTAATATACCTAAGTATCCTTTTAAGTATTGAAATTTGTAATGGGTATCTGCCCAGTTCCCCTCTACTGGCTTTTCTGTTGACACCCAAGTATAGTTTACAGAATTTCAAATGAGCTTTTTCAGTGACGGTTTTATCCCATTTGGCGAAATCATTGTCTATGTATGCTCCCCATATTTCCGAATTATAAAGTAGAATGGGTGAAATCACACTGTCAAAGATTTTACAAGCTAAATTAGCGGGTAGGCAGTGAAAATCTACGTTTTTACGTATTTTGTATAGAGCATGCATAGCTTTTTCACTTAGATGTTTGGTTGCAACTGAGAATTTGGCATTTGGGGTTATCTTTAAACCTAGATATGTGTATTCATTTGTAATATCGACTGGCTTGTTACCTATTGTAAAGTTCAAGTTTAGGTTTTGTTTTTTTGAATTATGTTTTTGAAAAATCATTATTTTGGTTTTCTTCAGGTTGACTTTCATCAGCCATTTTTTCTTCCAACTATCAAGTGTATTTAGACAGTTTTGAAGGCCAGATTTTGATTTTGATACAATAATGAGGTCGTCTGCATATAGGAGGCTACTGATTGATGTACCGTTAGGTAGTATAAATGGATCAGAGTTTGTGCTTTCAAACAGTTTTGGTAATTCGTTGATGTAAATATTAAATAAGAGTGGACTTAGAATACACCCTTGACGAACTCCTCTACTGTAAGGGAAAAAGGGCGTTCTATTATTTGATACTTTAACAGCACATTGTGTATTTGAGTACAGGTTTTTAATCAAGTCATAGAATCTCCCTCCTATTTTATTTTCTAATAATTTTAAGAAGAGGCCGTCGTGCCAAACTGAATCGAACGCTTTCTTAAAATCAACAAAGCAGGCATAAATTTTTCCATTACTGTGTTGTTTAACCTATTTGTCATGCAGTGTTTTTAGAGTTAATATGTGATCTGCTGTTCTGTTTCCAGGCATAAAGCCTATTTGACATGGATGTATTATTTCGTTTTCATTTACATAAGTCATTAATCTATTGTTGAGGATAGAACAAAATAATTTCCCTAGGGAGCTTGAAACACATATTCCTCTATAATTGTTTTGGGTCTAGTCTGTTTCCGGATTTAAAGATTGGGGTAATAAGACCTTCACACCAAGATGATGGAAATTGTCCAGTCTTTAATATAGTATTGAATATCTTTCTAAGTCCCTTTATAAGAATGTCCGCACTTGACTTAATTATTTCATTACTTATCCGATCAGAGTATACGGCTTTTTTGGTTTTAATTTTCTTAGCTGCATTTAGTATCTCATGATCTGTTATCTCATTGTCAAGTTGGTTATATTGATCTTTATCGTTTTCATTTTCTTCAAGATTTTTAATGAATATTTCATGATTTTCTGACAGGTCATGTTTACAATGTAGTTTTTCAAAGTGTTTGAGCTATTGGCCTTCAGTTGGTGAGTTTTTCGAATTAGTTGTATTATCTAAATTGTCACTGGTATTTTGGAGAGTTTTCCAAAACAATTTAGGGTCGTTTTCAGTTGCCTTTATGAGTTCGTCAATCTTATTTTTGTGGAATTCGTTTTTCTTGATTTGTAGAGTATCTTTGTATATTTCGATAGCTGTTTGATATGCATTTCTTAGATCAAGATTTGTTGGGTCTTTATGTTTCTGGTTGGCAAGCTTTCGAAGTTCATGTCTCTTAATTCGAAATTCTTTGTCAAACCATTTTTTATTTGCTATGTTAGTTATTTTTCGTCTAGTTTTCTTTTTCTTGATTTTCAAAGACTTTTTGGATGCATTAGTTAAAATATTTTGGAATTCTGTAACACATTCATTGACACCACTTATGTCATTAGTAAAGTTTGTGCTTAGAAATTCAATCATTTTGTTTTGGGTTTCAGGTGAATTGAGTGCTTTTCTAAAATTAGTTTTTGAATTTTCTGACCAATCAAATTGAAGCGGCAGTTTATGTAATGGTGGTTTGGATTGGTCATGTTCTTCAGTTTTAGGGATTGTCTGGATATCAAACCATGCCACTATTTGGCTATGATCAGATAAATATGTTGGTGGTTTGACAATAAAATTATTAACACGTTGAAAGGTGTCTTGGTCACATATAATGTAGTCAATGACACTTGTACCGTTTCTTCCATGGAAAGTGGGTCTACCGAGAGAATCACCTTTGGTTCTCCCATTAATGATTCTCATGTCAGTATTTTTACATATATTGATTAATTGTTTGCCATGTTTATTTATATTATTATCAAAGTTTTCTCTATTTTTTGGAAGCATGTTCCCCTCGACTATACTTTTTGGATGTATATATATATATATATATATATATATATATATATATATATATATATATATATATATATATATATATATATATATATATATATATATATATATATATATATATATATATATATATATATATATATATATATATATATATATATATATATATATATATATATATATATATATATATATATATATATATATGGCATCTGATTGGCTAGTTCTAACACCGGACATTGTTTTCTTACCATGTTTTTATGGTATCCGGTTATGGATTTGGCCAGAGCCCCTCGTCGCACCGCGCGTAAGAAGGGCTCTGGGTACGAGAATGACATCCCTCCAAATATTAACTAGACCCAGTCTTCTGCTCGATTGGGAAATGGATAATTCAGGACGTGTATGAATTGGAGGATCCGTACGAATTTAGAAAATATTTTTTAAAATTCTATTTAAAGTACATTTTTGCTTGGAAAGCCTTCACCAAAAGAGCTCAACAAAAAACTATGTTGGTGGAAAAACTCAACCTTACAGTTTTTAGATAATAGCTGTGAATCGAGCATGTAAAAGTGATACAGTACCTTTCTGATTCATCTTGCCACACAGCGCAATGATTGTATAAGAAATATGTTAAATGATTGGGAATTAAATCCTTTCCAGATACACGTACATCGACTGGATACCAGTAATGAAATTCTTGACGAAGCTTGCTGGAAAATGGAAGAAAACATATTTTACCTAGTGCACCTTTTACTTTCAGCTGACCTGGGGAAAAGTGGGAATCGGGATCCTGGATCTTAGGAACAGTTGTCTTAGCAAGAAGATTGAGGAACATTTTCAATTTCTCACTTATCGAGCTTCCTATATCTGTCATTTGAGACATGTAACATAAATACAGTCAAGTATACCTATATACTTGTTGTTGCATACGTAATATGCCGTCAAATTTTCCATTGTTTTAACGAAAATTTGAAAAAGGCAAATTCAGTGCAGGAGGAACATTTTAAAGAAACTTATTCCAGATCTGGATTTTTTATTTGAGTCGCGGGTTGTGGGAAAATTCCCACAGTTTCACTACACGGATAAAAATTATGGCCTCCAGTTGGTAAACAAAGTCAGAAACACATGTGAAGCAAGATAAACTGGATTCCAAACATTAGCAACGGTTTTTATGTCACGTCCGCGTCGTAGATTTGGTGCATCTTAAGCTCGCTAATATTCACTGAGGTGCACAGTGCTATGCTCTCATCAGGCCTTAAAAAATAGGCGTACGCCAAGAATCAGGGCTTAAAAAATTAGCTTGGCGTTTTTTCAGACAAATATGATCGCGTACACTTTCTACAGAAGAACTGAACCGTTACCCCTTTCTGTTTGCCTTAAACTCCTTCAGACAATGAACAAACGTTCGCCTCTAATCCTGGTCCTGAAATATCCATATATTTATAACAATCAAACATGAAACATTGATCTAGAAACATCGAGTTCACTGCTCGAATCTCCGACCGCCATCTTCGTTTACGTCGTTTAAATCCAGCATTTCAAACGCATTTTTATACGGGAATTTTATACGAAAACTAGTATACAAAATCGTACGACAACATCGTAAAGCCAGGTTTACACTGGTCGTAATTCATCGGCGATCTATTGTATTCTTTTCCAATAGACAAAGCATTTTACACACCAATGACCACAGACAATGGAAATCCCCGATTCTTACGACCAAGAAACGAAAGAAACGAAATACGCCCACTTTTCGCACGCCCGGGAAATAATGTAAACTCGCGAAAAGGAGGAACCCGCTCACAGTCTACACACGTAAAAACGCACAAGTTGTAACAAAAGACTTGTAGCAATGCTGTTCCAACAACTTATTCCAACAGGATGTGTTCGCACTGCCTGTTCCCAGCTTGTTGACAAGTTGTCAACGCCTTGTTGACAACTTGCTACAAGGAAAGAAACAAACAAACTTGTTACAAGTTGTTCGAACAACTTGTTATCGTCCTGCAATTCAACAACTTGTCAACAAGTTGTGAGTGACAAGCTTGTAGCAACTTGACAAAATAACAGCATTTTTACAACTTGTTGACAAGCTTGCTACAAGCCTGTTGCGAACACATCTTGTTGTTGACAAGTTGTGAGATTTTTACGTGTGTAGGTCGTGATTGAACTGGCTGACTTTGATCACGTGCTATTGAAAAGATTACCATTTCGTGACCGTACAAAGATCACTGCCATTTCATGATCATTGAAAATTCATCTTTCATGCACCTCCAGTTAACCATTGCACTCACAAACATTCAATATTTGTATTCTATAAGCCAACTTCTTGGCTGCTCTTATTGTCTTTGTACATGGTGTAGAATGTGTTGCTGCAAATGGCAAGGTACCAACGGCAACGGGTTATTATTTTCGAATATCCTGTTCGTTGGTTTTTATTTTGCGTATACCAGAAGATTATTACGCTTCAGTTAAAAACTGACGAAAGAATATGGTCAGCCGAGATTTTATAATAATATACTTACGTCAAAGACTCCATTGGGATATCTGTTGTCGGTTTTGGTGCATTGTTAAAGAAAATATAATCCCACACTTCTCTTGTCATTTGCTCTGGCCTGCAAGTATTAATAACATAGATCATGACAATGCATTTGGCCGATTTCAAGAGTTATGAAACCAGACAAATATAGCGCCGAGATGAATTTTATCTATATTTTAGACACGCGCTGCAATTAGGTTGTTGTGATATTACGTGCTAACCAACATGTATTGCGCGCATAAATTTCAGAATATCCAAACTTTGCATATTTATAACTTTGCATATATCTCTCACGTTGGCGAGGGGGAGGGAGGCGGGCAGCCTATCCAAACAAATAATGATTTAGGGCTAGACAATACAAGTAAGGTCTTGTATAATGTACAAATGTACAATAGAATACAAAGGTAAAAAAAATGTTGTAAATACACCTGACACCTATATGCACCAATTACCATTTCTCTGCAAGTCTTTCATGAAAATAAAAGTATAACGTACTTGATATTAAGTGGACCCGGAACAGAACCATCTAATACACCTCCTTGGAGAAGATAAGCAACAGTGTAATAAGCCATGTATACTGTTGAATCTGACAATGATTCTATCAGATATTGCTCATCCCACGGTAATTTGGTACCTGGCAAAGAAACACAATTTCTCAAATCGTAATCTTCGAACGAAGGCTGATATCACATCCCTCTGATGCCTTCGCAAGACGGAGTAATTCTTATAGAAATTAGAACAAGTTGTAAACATTTTTAGATAGTGTGCCAGTAGTAGGTCCTTGCCTATCATGACTATACTCCTTGCATGACTATGATGATTATAATACTCTGTTACTATGATGTATAGATGACGTTTTTAGAATATAGATGGGAGCAGCTAACAAAAATGCAACTTTATACGCTCTCTGGTAGGAATCGAACTTGCGGGCCTGTGACTCCAGTGCAGCTGTGCTCTGACCACTCAGCTATAGAGCCCAGTTCCTGAACAATGAGTAGATATATGAACCGAGCTCAAAGTGCTTTGTTAAGGCGGATTTCCATTCAGTGCAAAATGTCGCACGATCGATTTTATGGGATCGCTTTCTTTTGAAATGTGTGCAGTCAACTACATGCAGTATAATGAGATTTGTTCCGCTTGACTGTTTGTATTTGAAAAGAATTGAAGAAAGCGATCGCAAAAAGTCGATCGCGCAACATTTTGCACTGAATGGAAATCCGCCTTTAAGCCTGTTTTCCACTAGGCGGAATTTTGCGCGCGGAGCGGAATTTTTCTTGGTCTTTTCTAATTAGTTCCACCCGAGAAATCACAAGACAAAGAAAAATTCCGCTCCGCGCGCAAATTCCGCCAAGTGGAAAACCGGCTTTAGTCTTTAAATTAATTCCGTACATGAATAATAACTACACGAATTTTTAGGAACGGAAAAGCTCAGATTTACTTTTTGTGTTCTTATCAAAAATGAATTAAGATAACAAGTTAATCTAACAGTGCAATTTGTTGATAAGGTCATAAGGAATAGCTTCTTTTCTGGCGCTCAACCGGAAAACCCCCCAACATATACTGAATAACAAAATACATATATGTATTACCTAAACCATACGACCGTGAACATGCATGTTCATGTAACCAATCAAGAGTCGCTTCAAAATTTCTCCGACTTTCTTCAGCGTATCTAAAGAAAACAAATTCTCAACATGTTCTTATTCTGATTTAAAGTTTGTTCGTTCACTGCAACCAGGTATATCAATCATGTTTCGCTCGCTAGTCTGGTTTAAATAAATGATTACAAAGCCCAGTCAAATTGTAATCAAGACCCAACGTTTCGACACTCCAGTCTTGTGTCTTCATCAGGGGTGATCTAAAATTGCAATCGTGGCTTCTTAAATACCCAAGGGATGACGTCACCTGCCAATGAGATGCATATATTCCTCTGGCAAATAGGCACCGTCATCCCTATTCAAAGCATGATTACTATACACTTAATGTCTGCTCCCGAGGGAAATAGTTAGTTTTGTTTTCCCGAGAATCTCAATGTTTCCCGAGACGAAGTCGAGGGAAACATTAAGATTCGAGGGAAAACAAAACTAACTATTTCCCGAGGGAACAGGCATTAAGTGTTTTGTTATATAGCGACGAACAAAAATCAATTTCAACAACAATTGTATTTCGTGACAAAAACTTTATAGTGTAAACGAGTTTAAAATTAAAAGAACCTACTTAAACGGTTTCAGCAGCATATCCTGTTGCCTGATGTGTATTTTTCTTCTCTTTTATATTCTTTATTTGAACACAAACTTGGAAAATCGTAGTTTCTAATTATCTGAGTTTTGCCTCCATTTTGTTTATTTATGTACGTGGCCGGTCGGGGCGGGAAACAATTTTTCACTTGTTGCCCGGCGGGAAACATTGCATTTATCTGAAGTCACGTGACCACAAATCAGCCAATCACGTTTGGTGTTCACGCTAGCTATATAACAATCATATTTATATGCCACGCTTCTAGGCAAAGTCTTTGACCATAGCGATTGTTTGTGGTAATTACTTTAGAGTTTTCCAACGCAATCTCGTGTTTGGTGTTAATAATAGTAATGAAAGTTACAATTTCATAATAGTAATGAAAGTTACAATTACGGCAAGGAAATCAGATGGCATGTACATCTACTACACACCCTGGTAAAGCTCAATAAACATAAATAAAGTCATAATTTTAGGTTTGTATATAAGCACTTTAAAACATTAGAATCATATCAGGCAACTAAAACATGTTTCGTATCTCGACCTATCGAGGACGTCGCCATATTGTTTTAGTTATTTATAAAATATATTAAGTACATAATACTTTTATATTGATACAAAATATAATAAAATAAAAGTTATTAATAAATTATTTTAACCATATTTGTGAAGTTTACAAATAATAAATATATACTTATATACTTACGTATTTAGTCGTTTCAAAGCTTCTCTGGCCTTGTTTTTCCATTCTGGGTCGCCATAATCCAAGTACCTACGTAATAATAAAGTGTAAGGGTTTGATAAAATATCCCAGAGTTTGAAGGGGGTTTCTATCAGATTTTTCTATTTCTGCTGACCAACGACCTAGAATTATAATTTTGAGCTTTATAACATTTTGTTATAGAATTGCCTATAGGGACGGACCATTAGAAGGTGTTTCCTTTTACGGTTCGCTTGGTGTGCATGTTTTTTTCGTGTTGTGATATGTAGTGAGATCAGATTCTGGTAAATTATATTTAGATGACGCTTCTCTGAGTGGTTCCACACGGGGCGAGCTGAAAAGCAGCTTGACCGAGATGGAAATCAAAAACTGAGCTACGAGATCAAGTCGGTTGAGGACGTGATTCTTCGGTCTAGTTCCTCCAACATTAGTATACATCTTATTCTTATGATATCAATTAATTGTGTATTATTTTCAATTATTATAGTTCAACAATTTATTTTAAACACATGTCGTTTTGCAGCATCCGCCTTTGATGTTCAATATTTGTATATTAATATCTTATTTTGTCTGGGTGTGTGTACCATTTGTGTGTTGTGTGTTAAAATGTTATATATGTATAGATGTAAGCCCCCTCCATAAGCAGTTTGCTTTTGGAGTAAACATCAAATAATAAATTTTAAATAAAATTACCCGGGTTCTAATCCCACAATATAAGAAAAAACATACTCCGGATAAGAATGCCATCTTGCAAAATAAGTAACATTTCTATATCGCAAATTTGCTTTGGAGTAGCAAACCAAAGGTCGAATGTTAATTCCATTCCCATCCCAGTCAAGCAATTTTTCGACTTGTCCGGTATTCAGCCACTCGGTGTAGCTTCATCTAATATATATAACAATTGTATTCGATTTCAAAGTAATAATAATCACTATAATCACTAAAGAACAGCTTATATATATATAACAATTGTATTCGATTTCAAAGTAATAATAATCACTATAATCACTAAATAACAGCTTATATATATAACAATTGTATTCGATTTCAAAGTAATAATAATCACTATAATCACTAAAGAACAGCTTATATATATAACAATTTTATTCGATTTCAAAGTAATAATCACTATGCATCATACAAGATTAGCGTTTAAGGTGTGGCATACGTACCATTGATCACATAATGCTACAACACAACGATCACCAGATCGAGAGATAATTGTCTTTTCCGGTTCCATGTAAAGAACAGCTTCTTTCTAAAAATAAAAAGCAACAAATATTCGAAAAGAAGAATCGCTGCAGGAGTAAAATTCAACGGATAAATACCAAACTGAACATGTTTTGGGATAAGGCTTGCTAAGGGACCGGTCATTATTTATGGTGGGGGTGGCACCGAAGAGAAAAAGGTTGGGTAATCAAAATTTTGAGTAAGTAAAAGGTTGGGTAAATGAAAAACAAAACAACTCAAGGGTTGGGTAATAAAAATTTATTGTCATTTCCAAAGCATGACCCACTGAAATATTGGAGACTGAAAAGCAATGTCAACAGTCATTTGTCAATACAATACGTGAATCAATCAGAGTCACTATCTTGGTCATTTTGACAAAACAAATGGTATTTCCAAAGAAAGTGCATGTGCAGACAACATGAAACTTTAGACTGCAGAAAATTTCCCAAGCCGTTATCAAACTCATGTCATAGAAGTGGTAAAAGACATGTGTGACAACTGAATGGTATCCTTTTGTAAAGCTTTTGGCCAGGGGTGGGTAATTATTTTTCAATTTATATTTGAGGTTGGGTAATCAATTTTTTGTCTTTTTAATGGTTGGGTCAGCAAAATTTTTGCCACGAAAAACATTTCTCTTCGGTGCCACCCACTACCATAAATAATGACCGGTCCCTAACTCGTTCTTTAGAAAATTTATTCTTTGTTTTATTGTGTTCCAATGATATAAGCAGCCAATCACAAAAAATGTTCCTTTTGGTTCATATTACCAAACAATGAGAATTTGTAGAATTATTGAAGTGCGACATTATATACATGCACGGCTTGCACGCATAACCTCGACTTCATGCATTAATTTCTTCGAATTACACATTAAATGGTGGTGTCCCAAGGACGTTTGGCCATGCAGGATTGTAGAGTGTTAGGATTGGGTTTGTATTTCAATGGATGATTCCAGCTATAGATTGAATTTTGATCTTGGCAAGAAGAACAAAATCCATCACCACAGCTAGAAAGAGCTTGTTAGAATTAGTATAATTGCAAAGTTTGGTTGCGAAATGTTGTAAAATGAGGAAAACTACGCAAGGGAAAATACACCACAAATTAATACAAAATTTGCAAATTTCGCAAGGCTATATTTTCCGCATTTTACAACATTTCGCGGCCAAACTGTGCAATTTTACCAATTTTAACATGCTCTTACTAGCTGTGTTGATGGATTTTGTTCTTCTTGCCGAGATCAAAATTTAGTCTATAGCTGGATTCATTTATTGCTGATGTTAATATGGAAATTGTAGTTCCGCAAATACCTGTTCAATCATTTGGCTTTGAACAAGTTTCTTCGCATCTTGTACAAGACGACCTTTAAAATCACCAACCAACATGATTCCTTCATAAAAACCTTTCTTATACGTTAATTGTTTCGCTTCTTCTAGCCGATCTCTTTCATTCTGACTTTTTATTTTCATGTCTTCACAAATCTTAACAGCAGTAAGATTTCCATAACCTGGTACTTCAATGATAGGAACAGGATCAAACGGTAGAACCATCTCGTCAGTCAAACTATATTTCTTGCGGAATGGCTGGTCAGAGAGAAAGGAGATGAGTACATTTGAAAAATACTTTGACCCCCACCTACGGTTGCATATGTCTATTATGTGTAAACATCGGAGGGCATCATTTCATGACATCATGAACTTTAGGTTCTGCGTTGATAATAGCATGTAGTAGATACAGTACCTCTTTAGATTTGAGATCTCTTAACGCTGCAAAATCATCAGGAGCATCTGAGGGGACTGAAGTTACGACACCAGTACCTATAGGAAATAGTTGATAGATATTATGATTGTTACTTGTTTGCCCGCAACAAACTTTTGCCCACCTGCTAGCGAGTTGCAGAGAAGGCTATACGACGATGTTTCATAAACATGCTTATAATTAATAATACTGCATGTGTTGTCTTAAATTGGTTTACTATATATATTGTAATTTTTTCATTAATTACACTTTCCAGGAGTGCAAGTAATGATTTGAAAAACAAAATGGCGGCTCGCTTTGCACAGTAAATACAAATCTACAATTCACTTACTCAAAACAAAAGCAGAAAATGAAAATACACAAAAAAGCACTGCCACATGGAAATTCAGGACACTATGCCCGAATACAACTTTCATGTTGTAATGAATAGTAGTTCATTAACTTTAGTCTGTGTGTGTTTAAAATGACTGTTGCTACGCACTGGCGTAGTTGATGGTGTTTAAAAACGTTAGTTTAGTTTTTGAGCGAGAATTGACTGTCTGTTTACTGATATTGGTATCTAACCTTAAATCGATTGTTAATAAAGTTGTTTACTGTGAGTATTTATTACAATGTGATTATCATACCTTTATCTTCCTTGATATTAAGCATAGGCAGGGTGTAGATGACTGGATAAGACGTCAATGGAGCTTTCAATGGAACTCCCATTATATCCTACAATAAATTATAGAATTCACTAGCAAAGGAGATGAGGTTAAAAATACACCTATACATGCATGCACTCTAAAAACACTGGCTACCTTTTCCTGGAAATAACACTATATATATATTTGGGTTAATGAAACATTCCCAGTTATATTTCCTGGTTATTTATCTCACTTTCTACCATAGTCTGGTTTTAAAATGTGGCCAAAAATCTGGTTATATTTTACCAGGACGTTCTTGTTAAAACAGGCAGACTATATTAGGTGAATATATAACCAGAGCCCCCGGTTATTTATCCACCTAGCATTGTCTGGTTAATTTAACTAGGACGCCCTGGTCAAATGAACTAGACTATAGTAGGAAAAACTTTAAAATAACCAGGAAATTTTACCAGGAATATTAAGTTAACCCAAATATAGGTACATTTCTAGATTACTCACGAACATTTTAACCAGAGTCTCGTTTAGACAAGAACCATTGCCTTCCGATAACTTACGAAATAAGGAAATTATTGGGACCCATGCAATGTTTTTAGTTCTTGAGCATAAACCCTGAAGTTGTTATGATTGGCTAGCTGTCAAAAAGTGTTTTCCCAAATTCTCCACTGTTCTTTTTCTACTTGATTGGTTTGTATAACAAGAATGGAGCCGCAATGATAGCCTGTGACGCAGGCTACCGCAATGATAACAGAAACCAAAGCTTGCATGCCAGGTTTTAGTGGGGAAGAGTGCTGTATGATGAGACCAGTCAAGTCAGGCGAGGGCCATACTACTTTTTAAAGGAATGAAATATATGTTAGTGCATTAGGTCAATAAAATACAAAATATAACGTACAGATCAATAAAATACAAATTATAACATACATGCAGTATTGTTTTAGTCCATATCTTGGGTTTAGAAGATGTTTTCATTTTTCGGATTTTATTTTGCTTTTAATTTTCATTTCACAAAATCGTCGGCTGGTTCTGGCTTTTGTAAAAGGTCAACATACTATCAAACACAACCCCCACTTCTTCAGGGTTAGTATGTTTGTATACGATCAGTGTAAGAGTGCATGAAGAAAAATCCAATGTATACCTGTCCAGTAAGTTCCAGCAAAACTTCATATTTTCCATCCTCAGTTGTAAACCCTTGATATGACATATTTTGTGCAGCTCTCCTCGTACACACGAATATCTGTTTATGTACGGTCTCGAAAGCAATATACTAATAAAACAACATTAAAATCGATAAGCCTTTGCTATACAGTACTCGTCATGCAATGTGCAGCCAAAAGTGCAACCTCTCCCTTAGTGCGATAAGAGGTGTTGCGAAGATTCTGGCTAAAGGTTTGCCAGGCGAGAGCACTGAATACTAAAGTTAGTTCAAAAAACAAAGCCTCACCTGCATATCAGGTCTAACAAAGCAGTTGGTTTGTCCGTACATTGTTTCTGGACGTAATGTGGCTGCGACCAAAAATACCTCTCTCCCAGACAGCGAGCTGAGATAAAGAAGACACAATGTAATGAAACATGACAAAAGACACAATATAAATTATAGGTAATCACATGGGGCCGAGTAAAATTAAGGTTTAATTTCACGCGTGTTTTCAAAGTTTCACAAAACACAAGTAAAATTAAACCTTAATTTTACGAGGAACTATATGCGATTACTTGTTCATCTTTGAGGGAAAAATTTATTCGTAAGTAAATTGTGAACTTGTCAAGTTCTTGAACCTGGAATGTTTCCATGTCTTCGCCGATGTTCCTTAATGCTGCTCATTTCTTAATAACGCCAACTCATAAATTTGTACTTTTTCTAGTGTTCGAGTTTTTACTAGAAGTTTTTAATTCTTCAATAACATCATTATCACAACGACAAAGCGAGAAGCCATTGTTTGTATTGCTATTTAAAACAAGAAACTTCCCGCGCTTGCGTCTCAGCCAATCAGGTACAAGTAATTTTGCCCTAGATTAAGAAAAAATGCCCTCATCATTAGCCAATCATGTTCGAGTGATTTTTCCCTCTATATGCATAATTAAACATGAAACATTCAAAATAATGGTATACAGTAGGTGACACAGTCTTGACAAAGGCTTTACCTTAGCTTGCTTTTGTAAGGTTCTAAAACTTTCATTTTAATTATTGTATACTCTTGAGGACCAACTCCCTAAAAATACGTGAAAACAGAAAATTGAAACCGGAGCACACGCACAAACCTGTGGTGTTTGTTAAATCGAAGCGTCCTAATTCTGGCATGCTAACTCGAAACACTATGTTGGAAGTATATTAGTCGGCCGGCCAAGGTGGCAAAAAGTGCCTCTAAAGAGAGTTTGATGGCAACTTTATGTTAGAAGCTGGTGGCAGGCATTTTCTTATAGTTCAAGCCTTGGTGAATAAGACTGTGTGTGTTACCACTTCCGATTTTTGCTTTATAGCCAAAAATTTGAGAATTTTAAAATTTTGCCTATTAAATTACTATGATGGCAAAAAATGTAAAATTTCGTGTTCTCTTATACAAAAAATAAACTACGCCACTAGAAAGATCGCAAAAAACTATATATAAGACAATTAAGCGACTAGTACGATTTTCAAGCCGATTTTGAATTAAAGATTGTTAAAGTTGGCAAAATGGTTACTAATTAGCATTTATTATTAGCATGACAAAATTACTGGATGCTGATTGGTTGAGAGGAGTACAATTATTTCATTAATTGTACTGCAGTACAATTAATGATTTTCCCAAAACAAACAAAATGGCGAAAACGTATTTTAAACTCAAGCGTGAAATGAAATTGCCGTGGAGGAACTAGATGAAAATACGAACAAAATCACCAAATTTTGCTTGAACAAAAGAACTATATGAAAATACAAACAAAAGCACCAAATTTTGGTTGAAAGTCTGGCGGGACTGGGCTTTGGCGAGAGAATATGATGCTGACATTGAGAAGTACGTATCCAATTTTATCATGTTAATAATAAACAAGTAATCATGCGATGTTGCTCGTACAATTAGGGATTAATGGTACTCGTGATGTTTGGAAATTTGCCAAATTGGACGAGCCGCCAATTTTGGCAAAATTTCCAAACATCACTCGTACTATTAATCCCTAATTGTACTCGCCATCGCATGATTACCTATACTAATTTGGTCATTTCCACATTTTTTACCATTAAAAACTCGAAATTGTATTCGAAAAACGTAGAACTCACTTACTGTAATTGTCTTATATATAGTTTTTTGCGAACTTTCTAGTGGTGTAGTTTATTTTTCGTATAAGAGAACTGAGATTTTACATTTTTTCCGACCATAGTAATTTAATTAATTGGCTATAAAGCAAAAATCAGAAGTGGTAACACATATAGTCTTGCGTGCTATGCTCTTTCTTTCTTTCTTTTTTTTTCTTTCGTGCTATGCTCTTTCCTTCTTTTTCTCTTTCTTTTTTTTTCTTTTTTTTCCCGCTGTCTATATAGTCTTGTTCACCAAGGCTTGAACTATAAGAAAATGCCTGTTACCAGCCTCTAACATAAAGTTGCCATCCAGTTGTACAAAATGATGACTTGGCCAGCCGTCTATATTGGTTATACTGTAGGCATCGCCTTAGTGTAAATACATGAACTTGCGGTTAAAGCTCGATTGACTCTGTACTGCAGCTCAGGGTTAGAGCGCTGCACTAGAAACGCAGGGCCGCAAGTTCGACTCCTGCCAGAGAGCCTGTAGTTGCATTTTTCGCAGCTGCCCATGTTTAGTTCTAAAAATGTATAAAATTTACACTCGAGATTTCCATCACCAGAAAACCCTCAACATTTAGTATAGGTAAGGGAGCGGTCATAAAGTAACTGCTAGGGTGGGCTGGAGTGATTTGGGATGGGGCATGGAAAATCTTTGGGCAGTTTCGATGGGCCGCAAATTTTTTTGTATGCCCACGGTTGGGCCACCAAACAAAAACCCATGCATGTCTACTTCAAAAAATAATAAAGATATTAATAATAAAAGTAAACAAAACTATATCCAAATTATCAAATGCAAATTATGCTATTGAAGCCAGTACTCTGTTTATACAACAAGAAGTGGTCGAATCATAGCAAATACAACCAACTGGAGAGCAACTCAGTATCAATGTGTTGGTCAAACTTGGTGGAATTATGTATGTCAATACAGTGCCGTGTATATTTACAATGTTCATACCTGCAAGTTTTTTTATTATAAAAGTATATTTTTCCAATTTAGATTGGGTGGGTCATGAAAATTTTTTTGTAAGATTAGATGGGCTTTGAAATTTTTATCTACATCCTAAGATGGGTCACCAAACTTATTGG